AGAAAGACAAATACCATATAATCTCACTTACATGTGGAATCTAAAAAACGAACAAAAAACAAAAATGGACTCAAATACAAGAGAACAAATTGGTGGTTGCCAGAGGGAAGGAGGGTGGGAGGATAGGCAAAATAGGTGAAGGGGACTAAGAGGTACAAACGGTTATAAAATAAGTCCTGGGGATGAGGAGCACAGCATTGGGCATATAGTAATAACGTTGTATGGTGACAGATGCTAACTACCCTTGTGGTGAGCCAAGTATAATGTATAGAATTGTCGAATCACTACGTTGTACACCTGAAACTAATATAACATTGTACGTCAACCATATAATAAACTAAAAAGGGAAATCAGATGCTAAAATAAAAGTAGGGGGACTTTAGCCTTCTACCTGTCTTGAATAAGGGGCCTAGGTTTAGGTTCCAGAGGCAGTCTGCAGTGTGGCCCCCAAACCTAGAGCCTGCAGGAATGCATTATGATTTTCATGGTCTTTAGTGGGACCTCGGCACTTTTGCCATCCTGGGGTCCTTAAAAAATAAATAAACCACACACACACCCTTAATGTCTATATTTTACAACTTCATTAGTATAAAGACGAATATATTAAAATGTTTTCTTTGACCAAAGTTATTTTTCTTCTGATTATGAAATTACACATGAGTCCCAAAAAGTACCATCAGCTGTGGGCATGGTCCACTCTGCCTGATGGAGAAATTGGCGCTGCTGGCCTTAGCAGTGAGCACTAGGGACAGAGGAGGTGGAGGGGACCTGGTCGTCCTAGGGGGCCTTCCCCTCTTCTCCCACAGCCGGGGGTGGGGAGGGATGCCAGGCCCCAAAGGGGACCTGTCCTTACCAAGCTAGGGCAGGCCGGGGCACCTGAAGGTGTCGCCAGCTGGAGACGCAGCCCCCCTGAGTGGGGCGAGGCGCCCTTTCTAACCTCGGCGTGGCCCCTTGCCCCAGCACTCCCTCCCCACACCGACAGCGAGGGCGGGGTTCGTCCTGGCGGACTTACTTGAGTTCCACTGACCACGAGCCCGGCCATGACGACTGGGCGGACGCACGGCGCGGAGCACCGAGGGCAGGCGCGGAGCACCGAGAGCCGAGCACTGAGCGCAGAGCGCGGCGGCGGCGGGCAGACCCGTGGGGCGCGCAGTTCCGCACTTAAGTAGTCAGCTGACCCGGCGGAAGCCCGAGGCGCGGGCCGGGTGCTGGGACTTGGGCTCAGCGGCGCCCGCCGCTTGCTCTCGGCTGGCCCTCGAGCGGGTGAGCCTAGGCACGCCCCCCGCCACGCGCCGCCACAGGTGGCCCACAGGGTCCCGGAATGGCCTGACCCCTTGACTTCCGCCATGGCCCCCGGGCGCCCCAGGATCTCATCGCCCCCTGAGGCGCCAGGGGACCGGGACTAGCATCCCCCCCAAAACTCCACGCCCAGAACTCTACTGCGTTAGTCGGGGGCGGGCTAGGGGGAGCAGGGCTTCGCATGAGGGGGGCCCCATCTGAGTCGTTATTTAGCGGGGGACATGGAGGGCGGGCCTTTCCTATATTTCACAATCCAGATTTCATAACTGTCCTCAACTGCAGGGAGGAGGGGCCTTGGCCTGAACTCCCCTCCCCAACTTTGAGAGGAAAATGGAGTGGTTGAAAGGACACCTGGTGGGGCGGAGTTTCCATTTGTAGTGGGAGGAAGAGGGAATTGAATTTCCTTATAAATAAAATGCCGGCTCAGCTAAAAACACCCCCAGCTGACAGTAATAAACCCTCGAGAAGAAAAATCTATGATGTCCCCAAATTTCAGGTTTCTCTTATTCTCTCCCTCTTATTTGTGAAGCTCAAAGTCATCCATGTGGTCAAATTCCACCCCCAGTCCCCCCTAGCCCCCCCTACACACACACACCCCTTCCCCTCAGCTGGAAGAGAAAGGCGGCCTTTACTGCCTCCTCCATCAGGCCTCCTCCATCTGGCTGGGTGGGCAGCTCATGCCTGTCCTCAACTAAAAAAAAACAAATTTTCTCCCTGTGAATTTTTGCCTTCATGCCTCCATCCCGAGGATGCAGGAAGCTATTACCACATACCACTTCGTTGTCACATTATCACCAGTCCTCTCTTGCAGCTAAGAGCCAGCTGGGCCTTAACTGGCCTCTCTCCCCTGCTCCCTCGGTACCAGTGAGTAAAGAAGCTACCATTCAGAGAAGGGATCTTTGAGTGCCAGACTCCAGGTCCCACGCAGTGCACTACAGTTACCTCAACTCGGTAGACCTACTGATAATGGTAGCTCCCACCTCTGTTGAGGGGGTGTTCCCAGGGCTTTGGTTTTCATTGTTCCCCGTGTCTAAACAGCCCTTAGAAACCCTGTTTGTGCAGCTGATGATAATTATGATCGTGGTTAAGCATACTGTGGCTCTCATCATTGTCTCTCAGGCCTGGTGCCAACACATTGTAATGCGGGCCCTCCTTGTCAGTATTCAGATGAGCAGTGTTGACCTCTGAGGGCTGACCCGCCTGCCCCTCTCTCTGCTGGGAAGAGCGGACATAGCAGAGTGGAGCTGTAAGAACAGAGACTTGGCTGTGTTTACTTTGGGGGGTTTCAGGAAATGCTGCAACAAAAGGTCCTACAGGCCAAAAAAGAAGGCTTGCCCTCCAGAGATAAGGGGGATCAAAGGGAATCTTCCAAGGCCTACTGCCCCACAGACCAGCTCCTCATGCTCCTCTCTCCTTCTCTGCTGGATGCAGCCTCTCTGGTCCATTGTCCACTTTTGTTTGCCTTTCCTGCCCAAAAAGGAGGAAGTGGGCCCAGGCCCTGACAGTCATGATACACTGCCCTCTCCACCTTTCACCTGGTCTTCCTAGAAGGGCTCTGACTGGCAGGAGAGGACCTGAGGAAACAGGCTTAAACCTACTCACAGATGAAATTGGAATGTATACACTCCCACCCCAGCAGGAGGGTGCTTGAGGTCATCTCATCCATGGCCCTGCATCCATACACAGCTATGTCTTCTGAGCATAGACTGTTCTGTGGACACTATCTGCCAATGATGCCAAAGTAGGCAGGGATCTTTTCTACCTTTCCAGGCCTCCCTCACAATTTTTCCTTCCCCTACACAACTCTAGGGTAATCATTCTAAAAGCCTGATCTGACCCTACGTGAAATCTTTCAATGCTCCCAATCAACTAATAACACAGTCCAAAAGTCCAAAATCTCCGATACATCCCTCAAGATCTTTTAGAATCCCATCATCCCCTACCTCTCCCACCGCCTCTCCCGCTCCTCCCCTCCTCTGCCGGCTTTTAGCTGTTTTGCCTCCCCACCCACTCTTGTCTCCACCAGGTGAACACATCCAGGAGGCTAGTTGACTGCAAGGGACAGAGAATTGGGGAAATCACACAAAATAAGGATAGCTCAGATTGACATGGGCTTTAGTGTTTGAAATGGAAGCTGATAACAATACGGAGCTACTGAAAGTTCTTGAGCAGAGTAGAAATTTGTTGAATTTAATGGGGGAGGGCTCCTCTAAAAGCAGACTGGATTCACCTCTCCTATTCCCTTCAGCTTTGGAAGTTGTCTTCAGAAGAGAAGAACAAGAAGGAGGGAGAAGAGAAGGGAAGGAGGGGAAAGGAGGAGAAGAAGAATCTCTATCTCTGGACCAAGGAAAATCGGAAGCGGGGTGGAGGACATCCTTCTACCTCCTCATCACTTTTCTTGAGCGAAAAGGACAATTAAATTTAAATAGCAAAGTAAAGTTCTTCAGGTCATATGGCCCTCCCTTTGGAAGGGAGAGAGCAAAGGAACGCTGAGATAAGGCTGGACCAGGAGGTGAACAAATGATTCCTTTGGAACACCGGGAGTTGACAAGAGTGAACGGAGGAGACAAATCTTGTTGGGGCTTCATCTTGAACACAGTTCTTTCCGCCTCAGCCCCAGAAGCACGGAGGGGAAGAAAAGGCTCACACAGTCATCCAGATTCTTCTTCAGTTCCCTCCCGCCATTCTAGTGGGCCATTGAGAGTGAGCTGCAGGGGACCCTGCCTCACCCCATTTTATCCCACAGCTCCTCTGCCCCAACTTCTGAGGACCAGGCACTGTGCTAGGCACTCCAGGTATACATAACTAAGACACACGCTTCAGGAAAGAGTTGTGATCAGACATTTGCGGTACTATGTCGACAAGAAGTCCTGTGATTGTGATCCTATTTCCTGTGCCCAAAGCTGAGACAGGTAGCCCCATTTGTATAGTATACTCATGAGTACTACAGAACAGAAAGTTCAAATCAGACCTGCACAGCCAATCCTGAGCCTGTGAATTCTGGAGCTCTAACACTTGCCAATGGGGAGTAAAAATGTTCAACACTTACCGCTAGACATTTCCTTATCACCCTTGATGAAGAGGGCAATATTTTATTCCTACTGTCATCTTTGTTATTATTATTCTTTGGCAGAAAAGGCCCTTTCCCCTAGAGTTCTTCCTCCATCGCATTCCTCTGGACAAAAAGGAAAATCCTGTTTATTTGCAATCAAGGGAGTTGATTCTGGGGTCGACCAGAACCAGTGAAACAGGAACTGATTCCTCAAAATCCTCCAACTCTGTGCATCATCAGCTGAGAGGACAGGGCCAGTTAACAAAGTTTTATTAGCATTCCTACCTATCCTTTGTCGAATTTCTATTCAGCCTGGCCTCATTTCTTTCAGGCCCAACCCCTGGGTAGGTTAAGATGATTGCTGTAATTAATCATGCCCCAGCCCCTAGTTCAGACTCACCACATTCAGATTTCAATTAAAACAAAAAAATCTGGGTGTCTGCATACAAAATGCTCTTTTTTGCTGAAGGAGCCTCCTTTCAGTCTAAAGGAGGGAGTTTAGGAAAGAGGAAAGGTTTCCAGGGCCCTTTCTGTAATATTTGCACGTATGTGAAGGATTAAGGATGATCTAGGCTCCAAAACACCTCCCTGATCTCCCAACCAGAACAAATTACATTTTAAAATATATATATTAAATGCAATCATACTGTTTGGCATGATTATTCATTACATAAATGTTAGTTTATTATTACTGTATACTATTATAATTATCATTACCATTAATTCTCCATGCCTCTGAGTTTCCTTCTCTTGGTATCTTAAAAGATACTGTGGTTGTTGTCTCTACTAAAATGCAAACATTAGCTGGGAGTGGGGAAGGGAGTAGGTTTGCCAAAGCTGAGTGGGAGAAAGGCTCCTGCTTTTCACTGCATATCTTCTGTGATTTTTTGCAACCTGCATACCCTGCCTTTGTAATTAGAAGCTAATGGAGGAGATTGGATGGAACGATCAGGAAAAGAGAATTTATAACTGGAACTGCTACCTGCTAATCTCTTAGCATTATTTTCACAAATCCTGAAAACAGCAATGAAAAACAAATCTTATTCCCCCATTGACCTGGAACTAGCTAGATGCCCCAAGTCCTTAGGCTGGGCCCAGAAGGGAGGCTCTCTCTGACTTGAGGACAGGGGCTCGTAGTGGACTTTTGAGAAGGAAAGAGAACACTGACCAGAAGAACCTGTTCAACTTTATACTGTCCACTGGGGGAGAGGGAAGCAGTATCTAAGCCCCAGGTACTTTTCCAGAATCCCAACTTGGCTTGGAGAGGTCCTGCCATTTAGAGGTTGAGGAACAACCCACCCCCGATTAAAATGTACAGGACTCAGCAAACGAGATTCTGATTCCACAGATGCAGCCCTAGCATGTATATTTTATCAAGTACCCCCAGGTAATTTTGACTGTGACCATCCAGACTTACTGCTTTAGAAATCATTTACTCCAGCTACTGATTGAGGAAACTGAGGCCTAAGGCATGGAACAACTTGCCCAAGGCCACCCAGCCAATGAGCAGCTGACCCCAGGCCAGAACTCTGATCTTCTGAAGAAAATAAAACGGGATTCATCCTACATCCCAGTAAGAAGAGGGTGAAGAGACTGGAGAAGAGCACCAGAAAAATGCCATTTCACATCTAATCACTTCTTGTCACGTTGTAACCATTTTCCTCATATGGAGCCCCACACTGATGGATCAGAAATAACATTTTCAAAGTTATATCTTCAAGGAAATGGC